GGGTATACAGACACAGATACACACACTGAGGCAGGAATGTATGAGTAGAGACATATAATAATAATTTAAGAAAAAAACCTTCTAAAGGATCAGGATTAGCACCTCACAGGTGATGAAGAACTCATTATCAGGGTCACAGCCCTTAGAGCACTTCATTGCCTGTCTGGCACAAAGCCAGAAAAAAGTATGCTGCTGCCTGGGTGAGGTTCTGCAGAATATTAATGGCTTTCATAGTCCACACTCTCCTGGATTTGTAACTTCCCCAGGAGTGGGCAGACACTGGTATTTCTCCTTTAGCCTTTCCTTTCACAACGTCCAACAATATCCCCCCACCCAAGATGCAGACAGAGGTGTCACATCCAGCAGGGCAGGTCAAGGGCAGAGCTGCTACAGTCCTGGCAATTCCACAGAAAAATTGGTCTCAGGAGGCAGGTTTGGGAATAGGGAAACTTCATTATTTCAGCTAGACGCAGGTGGAGCTGAAGAAGTGACTCTGGGTCACTCAGTGCAAACAGATGGATATGGCAGGGGCACACACTGTGTCCCTGCTTGTCCCAGCCCAGCTCTGCCTGCTGGCACAGGGACTGCCATGGACAAGTGGCTGAATCAACAGCAACAGCGAGGAAGAGCTGGAAAAACGTCTTGTGTCCTGTTCCACTTGGTGAAGGAAATGCAGGATAAATACAACATCCCTTTTCTTCTGCAGCAGGCAAGTGTCCTCTTCACAGAAGGCACCAAGACATGAGCAGTGGTCTCCTAGAAGGAGCCACCACAAGGATGAGGCAAACCTGCATCCCTGAGAGCCCAGGGAAGGGTCCTGGGTGGTGCCCGTTGGTGCTTGTACCTACCTGTACCTGCACCTACCTTGTGTGCAGTCAGACCACAATCCCCAGGTTCCTTAGAAGTAATAAATAAAGGCAAAAATACATGTGTACAAAGCAGTTTGTTCATATACTATTTATTCATTCATGTATAATACAGTATAGTATGTTAATTCAGGTCCACAGTGTGAAGGCAACACTCCCCACTTCCATTTCTGAAGGCAAAATATCACTTGGTACATTTAACTTACACTTTTAACGACAGAGCCGGACAGATTTCAGATATGTTTTTAAACCTTCAGAAAATATGCATCACACTTGTTTGTCATGCTTGAGCCTAATGTGATTTGAATGAGAGGAGAAAATAAGCCTGACAACTAATATATTTATTGTAATAGACAGTAAATATTAAATACAAGTATTTATATGGGACATGAAACGTGTGTAAGAGGAAGGGGGAATGGTGTATAAGAGTCAGGGATCTGTTGTTAACCCCATGGCAAGTGTAGCTGTATTCTGCTGCCCCAAGGAGCAGTCGCAGCAACACACGAGCCAAAGCTCTTTACTAGAGTTTCATACCTCATTAATAATATCACAGGTCTTGAAAAGGAATCTTTTTCCCAGTATGAGAGGAAATTATTTCCCTTGTTGTGCTCTATCACGGCGCCTCCCTGATGCATCATTTTGCATTTGCTTCCCCTTCCCTCCCACACTTCAGAGTAACCAAGCAAAGGTGGGTTTGGCAGATTTTCACACTGCCTCACAAGAGGCAGATAATCATGATTAAATTCCTCACTCTCCAAGCTCTACTTTTTTTTTTTTTTTTACACAGTTTTTCTAATCATAATTGGATCATCTGAGAATTGGAGCTCTGTTCCCTCTCTCGTTTCTAGTAACCAGAATCACTCTCCCTTTTTTCCTCCCTAGAGATAATCCCCTGGAGATGGGAAAGGTTTTCTGTTGTGGTTTTTGCTTCCATGTAAGCTTTGAACAATGACTGCTGAGCTAGCTTTGACAGGTGTTAAAATATCTTGGAGCCGGCTGAACATTTGTATTGATTAACTAATACATAGACAGAGGTTTTTAGAACTGATTGCTTTACACTGTTTCAGAAGGAAGTGGAGAAAATATGCTACATTATCACTTTCTTTCTCATCCATTTTCATGTACTATATTCCATGTTCTTCCAGTTTAACTGCTAAGCTGTCAAAAACCAGAAAATAGTGAAGAATGTAGTTATGTGCTTATTCAGAAGATTGAATCTCGCTGTTATTGCAGCTGTTTATTCATGATATAATTAGGCAGAAATATACAGCTTATGGAAAAGTTAATAAATTCCTGAGACAGTCCTAAATGATAGATGAATACTTTTCTACTAGTCTATCTGATAGAAATGCCTTTTCAAAACAGAGACTCTTCAAATTTGCAATTACCAGTGTCTCTTTGCCTCATCACTACAGCTAAGTAATAATAATTACCAGCCAAAAAGATTTACCTTGTAATCCAAATACCTGATTTTATATTTGTGTTTTATACCTCCCTTGTGACATGGTCCTCAGTGAAAATGTTCAGTGCAGAAAAGATGCAATATGATACCTCTTTAGAAGACAAAGCTGAAATAAATTTATCACAAAGACTTCAGCAATGAGTTGCATTCACAGCTGACAATAAGAGAGTAGGGCCTCATCTTCCTACTGAAGGGTGCATCATGGTTTAAAAAGACAAAACTTAATAGCACCAAAATAAATGTTTGATGACAAAAAGTGAATATTAAACATTCTTATTGTAGAGATACCGCACAGCTAGCCTCTCATTTGGGATTCAGACAAATACATAAAAGTTTGTGATATTTAGATCCATTTTGCCCATAACAGTAATACATTTCTCTAAAAGCTAAAATATTGGAATTTCCAGGCTGTTCACATGCATAACAGTACCAAAGCCACCTCCTTCAGAAAATGCTGCATACACATCTCTAAGAAAATACAAATCATCTGCCCTTGTATATCAGCACTTGCCACTAATTTAACAACCAACTCCCACTTGAATTGCTAATGAAAAATGTAAATATATACACGATATAAAATAAGAGTGTTATCACCAGGCAAAACGGATGCTGTCTTTTCTTCTTCACTTTTGGCATTCTGCATGCCTGTGTGTGCTCAGCAGACAGCCCAGGCCAATAAAAATATTGATTTTACCTGCACTTTGTGCCCAGCATGGCCCTCACTGGATGGGGGCACATCCTCCTTTACTCTGGGAGAATTCAGCTTTACCCTCCTGCATGAAAGTTCCCTTCTGGGAAGCAGAGGTTCCCTGCTGGTGGAACAGAGACCCTGAATTTCAACTGCCTTCAGGCCTGTGCATTCCTGACTCCTTTTTCTGCCAGGATGGTTTGTGGAACAATTCTTTTCTTAGAATCATGACTACTAAATCCAAACTTTTTGCTATTTTCCTTTAATGCTATTAATGAGTTCTTATTATGCTTTAAGTACCTCTTCTAACTCAAATTAAAAGTTTACACTGTCAAGTCATGTGTGTAATGAACTTAACAGTTCTTAAATTTAAAGAGCATTAGTTAATTTTTAGCTCAGAAACAATAAAAAGTAGGAATAGGCTTCTTTAAGCCCGAGAATGTGGCTTCAGAACCCTTTTTACTTAATTTTTATTATTTAGTTTATCTTTTATTCCTATTTTTGATTATCCTTTCAGAGTTGATTGAACCAAAACACAATTGGGACCTTACAGAAACCTGTTTTCTGTTAATGAATGCATGAGTACATGAGAGTTATCATAAATAAACAAGGTATTAACTTTATTCTTCCTTCTTTTTTTAATGGATTTTATGGATTAAATAATTAAATTATGAGCAGCTGTCCATTCTTTAGGACTGCACAGAAATCATGAACTTTGAAGACATAAGGGATGCATAAGTAAGAACTCCTGCCTGGACCTCTCCTGAACTTATACATGAAAGTGACAAGGAAAATTATGATCCTATTTATGTTAACTCAAATGTTGAGAAATATCAACTAATTCAGTTCTATGTCTCTAGATTTACATTGCAATAGCAGATTCATTTTCCCATTTTACCAGTAAAGGGGCTAACACTGAACATAACATGAAATTGCAACCTGAGCTTTAGAGTTCTATTAAACAGAAACTTAGACCAAAACCATAAAAAATAATATAAAAATATAATTAAATTAGTATTTGCACCATAGTAATATTTATGTTATTCACATGTATTTTTAAAAACAGCCTTCTCTTTAGAATACAAAGATTTTTCCTTCTTATAATAGATAATAAAGTCATGTCAAGGGAAAAAGGTGAAAAAATGCCAAAAGTTCTTTGTTTTTATTTATTATACATTTAAGTATGCTTAGTTTTCCAGATAAGCATTAAATGGATGCACTACTTTTCAGAAAATCTTCACTTATTTTACATTAGTTGTAGCTGTGATGCTCTTGGTACAATTTGTGGTAATTTTGTTAAAGACTAAGCTTCACTGCATTACCCCACAGGCCTTTTGTCAAGTCTGAGGAGCCATTTGCACAATTTCGTCTAGAATTTTCAAAATTAGAAAATGAAGATAATTTCCATTTTCAGGGAAACAACAAACAGGGAAACAATGAGTCAAGGAAAAAAAAACTAACTAAGAAAGATGAACCTACTCAGGGTGTAGCAGGGAAGTGGTGGAATCATTATTCCTGGAAGTGTTCTAAAAGCATATGGATGTGGCACCTGGGGATGGTTTAGTGGTGAGCACAGTGGTGCTGGGTTAATGCTTGGACTCGATTACCTCTGAGGTCTTTTCCAGCCTCAGCAGCTCTGTGACTCTGCTCCCTGTTTATTCTCCATCTGCAGATAATTGACGTGCAGCCTGTCCCGACCTGTGCACAGGGCACCCAGCACAGCGAGCTCCTTGCTCTAGGAGCATCCCCAGCAGCAGGGGGGAGGGAGGGGATGGTAACAGATTTCAGACACCCAGATCTTCCAGAGCCTTCTCCTTTCCTGACTCACCTTTCAAGAAGTGTTTTGGACTTACCAGGGTGACACTGTTTGCACTGACATCCAAACCAGGCTCCAGCCAACCCTTCCACACTGGGCTGGACCTCCTGCTCACTGCACACTTCAGCACTCCCCCAGCCATGGCTTGAAAAAGTGCAAACCAGAGCCCACAAGAACATTTTCCCTGAAGTCCTGTAATGGGAATAAGAGATGTTAAAGTAGACCAATATTTCACACCTTACTGAGCTGATAATTTACCATAGAAATATCTTTATCTTAATAACGAACAATTAGATTGGTGAAGTTCATGTCTCACTTTTAAAAAATGTTCTCTTCTCAAACTGCTCATCTGAGATGGCCTACATTTGCACATTGCACTATTAGCAAAATGACTGTGATCATTTTAATTTAACAAATGGAAATGCACAAACACCTGCCTTTGTGCTAATGAGCTTGGCCTTTGGAACTCGTGGTGAATGGCTGCAGGTTATTAGACATGCCCAGCAAAACAGTGGCTGCAGCTTCCATTTGCAGCTCTGTAATTCACTGAAGTTATCTCATTTTCCCAATTGGGTCCAATTACAACAGTCATGATAAATAACCTTCCATTGTTTGTACATTTAATTCTCTGGAAAAATAGCTGGGAAATGGGTCTGGGGTACTTATACGAGTAGGAAAGATTGTGTTGTGCATCTTGGGGGTGTGGGATGTACAGGAGAGGAAAACAGTTCTATAAAGTCTCTGTATATTAAAATAGAAATTTTTCTTAATAAGAAAACCTGGAAATGTTTATCTCTGCTTTTTTTCTCATGCATCTCTGTTTGTCCCCAGACATATTTTCCTCCAGTCATATCATCATAAACCTTTGCCTTGTAGATAACAACTTCTTGCTTTTCAACACTTCAAATCAAGATTATCTGACCTGAAGGAGAAGAAAAACCTTGGGTTTTTTTTTACTTTTCTACTACATATTCTTTATTTCAGTCCCTCTAAAATGTGATAACATTTTATATTTTTTTTTAAGGAAAATATTCTATTCCATTCTTTCATACTTTATCCTAAGGAAATCAGCCTGTTTATCTCAGATTAAACTGGTACTTCAGACAAATCACTTGCACTGGAAAGGAGCTGTCCTAGGCCCCTGGCTGTTACTCACCAACAGGTGCTGCCAACTCCTAACTCAGCATTGTCAGAAATACAGTTTTCATTAGCCTGTCCTGGTATTTCAGCATTAGAAAAAAAAAAAAAAAATAGGTTATTTCCTATATTCAGTGCTTTCTGCTCCCTGCACTATTTTGTTGATGTTCATTTTGTATTTCTATACATTTCCCCTGAGCATTGAACTAGAAAATAAAACTGAAGCTATTATTCCTCTCTATAAAAATAAAAATCTCACATGCTGAGCACTCATCCGGCCTTCATAACACTCCTTTGGTTTTTCCACATTGTGTGACTGGATGCAAGAAAATAGCTCAATTATCTATTGGACATGGGCACTAATGAGGCCTGGGTCACTCTCAGCTAATTAGAAGCAGCCCAGTTTTTTAATGATTGCAGTCTTAATACAGGTAAGAACCAGGATGGCAGCAAAATTAGCTGGTGCCACTCTTTCTATGCTTCCCATTCTACCCATTCTGGGACGTAAATTCTTCCTTATTGTTACTCATGGCTGACTGCCCCACTAATGAATGTGATTTCTGCAGTCAGATGTTTATGAAAATGTCACACGCCCCACGCAAGATGCAGCCACTGAGGTGGCTCCTTCAGAGCAAACCTGCTCTGTCTCAGGGAGCCACAAACAGAAAGGGCAGCAGGGAACTGAATCAGTGGTGACACTCCAAACTGTCCTGATCACACAGAGCTCCTAGGATGATTCGTGCTCTGTCCTGGCTGATTTTTCCTGTAGCTCTTGGAGCAGTGCAATTAGTGGCGGTATGAACATTAATTGACCCAACCAGTGAATCAGAAAGGCAAGGCCTGGAGAAGGACTGCGAGACTGACAGCCCTGCAGGAAAAACCCTGACATTTCCAGTTAGTGTTTCCACAAGCAGGTAAACAAATGAACAGAAATTGGGCTGTGTCACCACGTGTAGATGTCCCATTAACAAGCCCAGGGGAAATATTTTCTAGGAGCATCAGCAAATGTGTTTTATGTGGTAAGCAAGCTGCCATTCTGGGGAATTGATGGAAGAGCCCTTGTTTATGCACTGCCAGGCCATGTCCCATTCCCAGCTGTGCTTTAATACCTTCAGAAACAGAACTGACAGAGAAAAATGCTATTTCAGAGCTCAGTCCAACATACTATCATCTACCTGCTCAGCTTTAACCCATTGCATTTGGAATGAAAACTCCCCATTTTCACAAAACTCTATTAAAATATCACAGGATTACATCACCATATCACAGAATCATGAAATTATTTGGGTTGGAAGGCACTTTGAAGATTATCTAGTTCCAAAGCCCTTGCCATGGGCAGGAACACCTGTGACTGTGGTTTCCTAGCTGGCAGCATCAAGCATTTCGAGTATTAATGTTCCACAAAGTACAGTTAATTATCACGTTGCAAGGAGTTCAGTCCTTTTAAGTCTCATTTGTGGTTTTGCTCAGACCTCTCCACACAGTTTCAGTTCCGAGGCAGCCTGTGCAGAGCAGCAAGTCCTGTGACAGTCCTTGTTTATTTTATCTGCAGCTCTCAGGCTGAGAGCCTCCTGTCACCGAGTGCTGGGCGAGTCTGAACAAATGACAGATGTGAAAATGTTCTGCCAGGGAGGACAGCCCTGCTCTCCCACATCCTACCTTCCCTGCATGAAGCTTGGTCAGCTTTACCTGTCACTACTTACAAAATCTTTTAAGCATTTCAGACCACTTTCATTGCCACGCTGACAATGCAGGGAATTTTTGTGGTCTAACAGCTGCCTCTGTCTTGCAGTTAGGCAATTTGGAGGACTGAACATTCCCACCACCATCACTCAGGTGGATTATGAGGGATTTGGAAGTGTGAGGTTCAAACCAACCCATCTGGGCCATTCTCTGCATGCGTGGCAGGCAGCAGAGGACTGGGACAATGTGCTCTGGTGTCCTGCACAGCCCCAGGGCTCCTGCCTGCTCTGGGGGGCTCCTGCTTGGTCTGGGGGGCTCCTGCAAGGCCCTGCTGGCTGCCAGACCCTCTCCACCATGCCAGAGGGGCTGGCAGGTCCCTCCCAGTGCCACCTGCCTGGTGCAGAGCTCTTCTCAGGCTGCTGGTAGGGCACAGAGGAAGAAGGGGTGGCCTGGAGGCAGCCAGGGCTTTGTGTCCCCCCCAGTGACAGGGGGCAGAGGGGCTCAGGGAGCTCTGCCAGGCAGACCTCTCTGCCCTCAGCCTGTGGGAGCATCAGAGCAGATGCTCTTCCCTCACCACCTTTGCCATTGCCCTGCCCTTTCCATGCCTGAAATACATCCCCTGCCTGTCACAGTCTTTTCCATTGGATATTCACACCAGCAGCTTTAGGCACCTACTTTAACTGGCTAATTTAAGAGCTTGGGTCTGTCTCATTGGGCACCAACAACAAGTTGTAATTAAATGACATTTTCTATGCTATATTAAACTCTTTCAGTCAAAAATATCTCATTGAAAAATCAGGAAATAAGTCCCCAGGGCTATCATTATCCATCTGCTTTCCTAGCAACTTTAGGCAACAGCAAATTTTAAAATAAATTTATACAGGATGCCTCCCTCTCTCATGTGATATGGACATGACATCTTTCATGTTGCCTTCTTGGAGTACAAAAGTTCCAGAGATATTATTTTGCAGCAAAGTGTCCCCAGCCAGCCATAAAGGCAGCAGTCTCCTGCATTCCCAGGTGGCCTTTGACTATTTACAACCTTACACTGAGCTGCTCCTCAGCATCTCACAGATCCATAAAGGAGGGAAGATGGTTACATCCTCTTTGAACAGGCAGATGAGAGAATAGTTGACAGCTGATGTTCAAGGGAAATAAACAGAAACAAATCAGATCAGAAAGTCTGTGAGACTAAAGTGGGAAGGTTCAGCTTTGGGAGACCAGTAGGAAGGTGAGAGGTTTTCTAGCATCTAGACTGACTTTCACGTGACCCACAACATCCTTTTTTTGTAATTGCAAGCAGTGCAGAACTTGAGCTGGAACAATTAGCCTACTCGCACAGAAATGCATGGAACACCCCAATACTGCCTAGGAAGAGGCTGAGATGCTGGGGAGGGAGCAAGTTAACAGATTTTAAGCAATTTAGGGACAGATTAAATCATCCAAATAGTCACAGTGTCTCTGCATTGCAGACACAGACAATCCCCCATAGCAGGCAGCCTGGCTGGCTGCCTGAAGGTGGGGAGGAGGAATATTCCCTCCCAGGAGCAGCCCAAAGCTCATCAATAACAAAGAAACCACCACCCTGGGAGCAGAGCAGGAGGTTTGCAGGAGCAAACTCAAAGGACTGAAGGAACCAGAAGTGGGTCACTGACATTTGAGCACAAAACTGCTAAGCCTGAAAATGCTTCCATTTGTTCAGTGCAAAGCACAGCGGAGTCCAGATGTTTAAATTCAATTCTTTAGATAATAAAGATGACAGTAGCTACAACCCCACAAAGTTTCTTTCATCTTTCAACATGATACATAGATTATGTTTCAGAAAAAACTTCTAAAAAATAAGGAACTGTGCCTCATTCTTATTAGGCTTTGTGGTTACACACGCTCACCTCCCAGCAGCAGCTGCCCCTTAGAGCTGCTTTGTATCAGGCTTTCCATGGCACAGCTTAGGGCAGTGGGTGATCATTAATCTTTGTGTTTCACTTACTTAGTCCTTAATCCAAATTTAAGCCAACAGAGACTGTTTGTTTCAGGCAGGTATATCAAAATTAAGATTTGAGCAGCACCCACTTGATATTATAAAACTACAAGTTTTGCCGTTTAGCTTCAAACACGACTGTGAATATAAGTTATAAATAGACACTTAAATGTTTCTTTCAACTGATGTTAATCAAAAATCCTGAAGGGTAAGTTTTACCTCTGGGTTCAGGATAGAAAAGCCTTCCAGTTATTTGAAAGATAATTCCATTGGCACGTTTCTTCCCCACCTCTTTGCTGTATGTCTTTCCAAGGGCTGTGCTGACAGCAGTGCCTGCAGAAGCTGCTGAACTTTCCCTGCACAACTCTCTGGCCTTAATTGCAGCCCATAAAGA